GCTCGGCTGCTGCGGTGAAAAGGTTTCGTCGAGGGGAAAACTCCGAAAGGAAATGGCGACGTGCCAGGAAAGGGAAGGAATCGCGGGAAACGTAAAGTCGTGGATCTTCAGGGATTTACTGAAAGGTGAAAGATGGATCATGCATGTTGGACCAGCAGACAGAACGGTTTCAACAGGCCGAAAGCGACTGGGGGGGGGGTCACCTGAAGTCCATGCAGGACATCCGATTTAGCGCTGGTGTCCCCAGAGGGACGAGAATCCAGAGTGATGTCATCAAACGCTTGAGGCTGCATGTGCACAGACCTCGCCTCTCTGCACCCGCATGTTTTCCTCTGAAATGTAAATACATCTCTCCTGTTACGGACACATTTCCCACTGTGTCTGTGGGATCTCTATTAAGGTCCCAGCCAGTGTTAAATGCTGTATTTCTTGTTTAGACTTCATAAGAGTCCCTCTTTCTGCTTATGAAAGCAGGCCAGTTAGCTTTAGTATAGCGGAAAAACTGATGACAAGGATAACGATGGATTCAGTAATATATTCTGTTTTAATGAGCTCTTGCTGGCCAAAGACTAAAATAATGCAGACGTAATGTTGCATTTGTTTTATATAACGATGTATGAATTTTGAAGGTCATGTTTTGATTTTGCAAATAAATTCTATGCGGCTGTTTTCGATTCTGAAGTATTTTCTAGTCATAAACAATTATAGTGATATGACACGTCAAATGCGGTGATTTGCACTGCATGTAATGCCCGCGTTCCAGCCTGTTTGTCTGTTTGTTGAACGTGATCGATAATAATTGACATTATTTTAACTGTCATTGAATTTCCACTAAAAATGAACAATTTAGCGCCGGCTGAATCCACAGTGGGCGGGACTTACCACACGGTGTCAATCACGATCCCTTCCAAGCTAATAATGCAAATGATTGGATGTTACCCTGCTGTTGAAGGGCAGCGCACAGTAGCCCCGCCCACAGTTCCTCATTTCTCCCTTGACTTTAGGACTAGGGGATGTGAATGAGCATGTCACTATGCCATGTTCTGGGGGACGCGGATGCCAGCACGCCGCGCTCTGGGATGTGGGCGGTGGATGTTGACCCAGTGGAAAAAACTGAGAAGCACAGTCTGTTCTGAAACCTTCCTCTCATACCTCCTCTGTCGCTGACAGGTCCCCTCAAAACCCGCTGGAGGAGGACAGCCAGAGAACAACAGCACCAGCAGCAGATCAGACCTAATAGTCCAGCTGCTGCTATAGATCGCATATGGAAAAGCAGTGACAGTTTTCCCGAAAATCCTCGGAAGTGCCTCAGTAAACTATACGCTCCTAAAAGTGGAGGAAAATCAAACATCACTGAGCTGCTCTGGTGAGCGCTAATAGCTACAGTTCGGTGCCTCAGTGTAGGGCTGGGTGGGTGAGTACGGGGGTCTCCATGCTAGCGGGTGGTAAGCATAGCCCTTTAGGGAGTACAGACGGATTTCACGGAATATGCAATTAAACCGGGGAGAGCACTCCCCCTCCCCATTTTCGCCGCCCTATCAGGCTCCACTCCAGCGGTACTGCTGGGGGGTGACGAGGCTTCCTGCTTTTTGGTGCCGCAGAAGTGTAATCTCCCCCAGATAATGATCACTTTGCTCGGGGCGAATAACAGATTTCCAGTCACTCGCATTTACCCCAGTTTCCTGCAGTGGGGAACCGCAAAAAAAAAAATGCAGAATAACAAACTCGCGTTTTGCAAATGGGCGAATATTTCTGTTCACAGCTTGAGCCACAAATCTCACACTGTTTTGCTTTTTATGATTTACTTTAATTAAGAGACTTCTGAGCAGCCTTTAATTTTGAAGTTGTATAAACTGCTGCTATTTTATTCATCTGATTTACCCTAAGAAAATGCATAAACAACCATGAATAAATTCTATCACTTCACAAAACATGCCGTTAACAAATCAACAAAAGATGAGAGGTGCTGAATAAGTATTACAGCAGAATAGCTCAAAATTAAACTTGTGTTGTCTTATCGGTTTAAAGAGTTTTTACGCTGGTTAAGTAAGTGAAAATCATATTTGACTCGCCTGTTAATGCTTTACGTTTTCAAGTGGGTTTCTCAACTGCTGTTCCAGTTAGGGAAACAATAAATAACATACAATTATACAAGCATACAAAACGCAACCCAACCTGCATCGTTAGAAAGCTGACAGCAAACACACTTAAAGTCCAAGCCATAGACCAGGGTTCTTCAAATCTGGATCTCGATTCCAAAACCTGGCCTTGTTTTCAGTTCTCCCAGGTAGTTAGTTTAATAATTACTGATTCTGATTGGTCAGAGGCTTCTCACCTGATTGACCGGTAAAGGAAGGCTGGAAAACCAGCAGTGCTCGGAACTCAAGGACCATGATTTGAATAACCCTGCCATAGACAATCTCTTTGTGTTAAATGCAATGGCACTTATTTTGAGACTGAAATCTAAACATTCACTGATACAAATTGATTATCAGAATGATGGTGAAGTGGAAACTAGAAGTGGAATATGGTACAAGACGGTTCGTTAGTGAAAAGGAGCAATTAAAAGGCGCTCCACCAGCAGGCGATGAGAGGAACTGCAACTGCTGTTTAAAATCTATTTATCATTCTCCGCTTATTCTGGTCAGCATCACGGGGCGACCCGGAGCTTATCACAGGCAGCATAGGGTACAAGGTCACAAGGGCACATCTTCGGCAGGATGCCAGTCGAACACATATACGTACACACTCACCCAAGTTATACATGATGGGCGATTTATAGAAGCATGTTTTATTTCTCTGCGTCGTCCCTGTTGGTGCCTGATTAAGCGAGATAGATCATTTTTAATATTGTCCGTAGATATTTTCCTGTATAAACGCCTAAAATTTTTATTTGTTTGTCATATCCATGTCTGGCAAGCATATGAAATGTGCAATTCTGACGAGAAACAAAAATAAAATGTTATTTCACAGGTGGAATTAACAGAAAATACCTCGTTAAGTGTGACTTAATCCACATTAAGGAATTAAAAACGCGCCATTATCCTAAAGCTCCCCGGACAGACGCGTCCTCTGTTACCTGCGTGTCAACTGCGCACCCTGGTGGTAAAACTCGGTATTGCGCCGAGCACAGGCACGGTACCGAGACCACGTGCTCTGGCCTTGCTCTCGAGTGGCAGGCGGCATGGTAGCCCAGATTTGACCCGCCGTCTCTAACGTTTTTAAAAATAATCGTCCATTTATCCATTTCGCAACCATGTATCCAGTACAGTGTCATGTTGAGCCCGAAGCAAATACCGGGACTCTGTGGAAGGGATTACCGGCTGTCCCAAATCACATATACGCACAGAGGCAATGCAGACACACCAAGCAGCCGAACAGCAGCGCTGAGCACAACCACTGAACTACACCGAGCAAGCCGCCGTTGGAAACGAATTAATTAAGAGTTCTCCTGGAACAAAGCAACAACACACAGCCATCCCCCTAGACCAATGTATAAAGCAATATATATCCAAAAGCATTTTGATATTAAATGCAAGAGCACGCTATCACAATAGCACGTTTATTAAACGTTGTTCTTATTATGCTTTGTACTGAACAGGGAATTAAATTCATTGAAACCAACAGAAAACAGAAATTTGCACAGTAAACATAGTGACAGACTGCTAAAAGTATTTCGCTTTGAAATAAGATTTAATTTAAGTGTGTTCCGGGATCCAACGTGCTATAAACTTAGTTATTATTGAGTCATTAACTAAAAAGGTGCCTTTAAAGGCTGACGAAGCAGGACAGGACGTTCCGGATAACTTGTACTCGTTTGGGGAAATGTAGCATTATACAGATTACAGGCAGGTTTCGTTCCTTAAATTATATGCTTTGTAAAACATCAGTTTCCTTTGATGATCAACGATCGTATGGGTTATCTTGGGATACATCTTTAAGGGGCGAGTGTTCCCTTTTCAGTGTGTTTTTCCTCGTAAATCCACAGGGATACGGCAACATGATATTAACCACTGGAGCTTAAAAACACAGATAGCTGGCTGTCAAATCTATACACTGCATCTGTACTTACCTCAAAGACGCATTTCGTTTTCCTTTTTATAAACCGAAAAAGCTAAATTTTCGAAACTATATTGGACCTACCTGCTTCTCCCGTATCTCCATGTATTCCGTAAGGGCCAAGGTGCGAAAACAGAGCCGGCCACGCTCGCCGGTCACGGCCCGCGTCAACCCTGGGCGTAATGGCGCCAAACGACCGACAGGAGCCGCAGAGGCGCTAATTTGATTATTTATTTAAAATAGATGAATCGACCGTCAATTCATGTTGACATTGATTGGTCATAAGATGGCGCAACATTTAATCAGTCTATTTTCTTTACTTAATTATTCCAAATCGTTTTATTTAGTTTAAGTTAAGTGGCATTTTCTATTAATGACATTAATGTTTCATATGCTAAAATGTATTTGAATACATCCAACTTACTGTTAGTCTCCCGTGAGATACTGTGTACTTACCTTTTAATTATACGTAAAAATATCAGTATGACGTGGACTCATCATCCTATGACAACATTAGCCATTTTGTCCCTGCTAAAGAGGGGTGTCGTTTTGTGAAGAAAAAACAGTTAGGCCTATCTGATGCTACATATTTCTCAGCTATAGAAAGGTTATCCGCTTAAATATATATATATATAAATATCGTTATACATAGAATATTGACCTACTAACTACTTGCTCTTTGTAATTAACAATTAATTCACACTTTGAAAAATACTAAATTCCCCATGTTTTATGGTGTGTTTCCATTTTCCATCTTGGATTTCCCAAATGGCTGGCTGATCATACCGCAGCTGATGTACGTGAGTTCATGCGAGTCGCTCGACTTGCGCCGCTTCGAGAGAAAAGCCGCATTTGACAGACCGTGCGCCCAGTGTCCATGCGCCGCTCCTCGCAGTCACTCACACATGGACAGGCGCTGACTGACAGGGTAGCGGCACAGGGGGAGAGAGTGATGGGGGCTGTCAGCCGGAGTCTGCACCAGTGCAACGCAGCCGACGGGATTAAACTGCCAAAGCAACTAAGCGATTAGCAGCGGCCAGTTTTGGGGAGACGTCGCTCGCCGCATGTGCACGCCTGTCGGTGCCTGTGTGCCTGTTTGTGTGCTTGCGTGTGTGCGCGTGTGTGTGTGCGTGCAGACGGGGGCTCTCTACGCAAAACACCCAGCCGCAAAGACAACATAAATTTAATACTAATTGCAGGCACATCCAAGCTCTCCGCTCTTCTGTAGGCGCGTTTCTTGAAGGAGGGAGAGGGAGAAGAGAGGGAGACGTGGTCGGCTATGATGAAAGAAATCAGATCGCGCAGCGCAAGAATTTAAAAGCACCCAAGAAAAACAAGAAGCGTGCCGAGCAATGGAGAGCCAGGCAGTGGAGCAGCAGAGCTACCAGGACGTGCGGATGTGCGGGTACCTCCGCAAACCGAAATCGACGCACCGGCGGTACTTCGTGCTGCGGGCCGCCTCGGAACGCGGTCCGGCTCGGCTCGAGTACTACGAGAACGAGAAGAAATTCCGCAGCAAGGCGCCCGTCCCGAAGAAGACAGTGAGCCTGGAGACGTGCTTCAACATCAACCGACGGGCAGACTCCAAGAACAGGCACATGATCGTGCTGTACACCCGCGGCGAGAGCTTCGCGATCGCGGCGGACAGCGAGGAGGTCCAGAACGAGTGGTACCAGGCCATGTTGGACCTTCAGTGCAAAAGTAAGCCAGTCAGACGACGAGGACTGCAGTCCGAGACTCATGCCCTTTCCCTCAACGTGCGGTCTGTCGATACGTGGCAGCAACATGTAAACGTGTTATTATCTAACTATTACTGTGACATCTGCCGAGTCAGTGCGGTTGCAAATTAACTGGGCTCAGCAAATTTATGATCTAGTAGTTTTGAAGCGGGAAGATGTTTAAATGCTATTTAAAACAGCGTTAGGGGAGGGGGGGATCGCTTAACATATAACACCGCTGACCGCTGGCGCGTCGCTTGCAGTTGTTTTGGATGATAACATGATGGACAGCGTAAAAATAAGTGGTTACCAGTGATCATGAAAGTGTGCGTGTATATACGATGCATTGAGTTGATGACTTTGTTGAAGCGGCTATTTGACAGCACCTGCTTTTAAATATACGCATGTTGTGCGCCTAACCTACATCCCCGCACACCAGCGCTGCTGTCAGGGAGGAGAGGGGTACTTTCCCCCGAGCGGTGGTCGAGAAATGATGCTCGGTCCTCCTCGTGTTTACGTCGCCGTGCCCTTGGATCCACCCCGTTTCGTGTCTGCTGATGCCCAGGGTAAATCACGGAGTTAACGAGCGACGAAGCGGCACCGGGAGCCGCGGGCGTGTCCGATTAGTACGCGAATAATCGGGCAAATAATCGCCAAAAAGCCGCGTCCGTGCTCTTGGGCTGTGCAGCTTGTTGGGACCTTGTTGGATCGTAGCGTAGATGCTGAATTAATGCAAACAGGATAAGGCAACGCCGCTTGTTTTTATCGTAAAGCATCTGGGTAGATTCATGCTGGTGCGGTACTGGGAGGAGGAGGAGGAGGAGGAGGAGGAATGGTGGGTGGTGTGGTGTGGTGTGGGGCGGCATGCAGACCTTGCAGTTGGCGTCCCTCAGACGCAGCAGGCTTGGTTAACCGAATAAGCAGCTGTATTCCGGTTTTTCCATATCGGTTCTGAGAATATGAAAACACGAGTGTTTTTTTCCTCTCTCCATTCATTTCACGTGTCAGTTTATGAACGATGGAGCTGCCGCTAATTGGGCTCCAGTAAGGCGCACTCTGCATGTTTTCCTCGTTATTTTCACGGAGCCTCATGGTTCTAGTTTTGGGAGGTGCCCTTCACTGTATCCTTTCGCCCAAAATCTGGAAGTAGCAGAATACAGGAGGAGTGGGAACAGCACAGATCTAGGCGTGGGGCTGTCAAGGGCAGTGCCGCCGAAGGTACAGACAGCGCTGACAGAAAGCGAGCGTGTTCTGAAATAACTCCTTTTGCAACTCTTAGAAAAAATGATTAGACATTTAATCTTGCTCACATCCAGCTGTCAGACTATAGTCAAGCTTCGAGTTTTATGGTGTGTGATGGATACGACATTCAGGGGTTTGTGACCTTTGTAATTAGAAGGCAGTCGATTCAACCTTGACTGGAAATCGCGTGAAAAATGTTTACTTACAATGCGACTTGGATGGCCTGTTTCTGCCGGTTTGTCTAATTAACAAATAACAGCTGGATGGTGGTACTGAGGTATTACAGGTTACTCAAGGGCACATTCATCCCTGGATCTGTTCTGGTGAATTTTTGGGCAGTGCTCGGACCTCTATACATGCTTGCTTTGGACAGGGCAGTGGCACTGGCAGAACTCTTCTGGTACTGGACGATCCTGTTAGGCACCTCGCATTTGATCTTTCGCCCGTGATCCAGGTGTTGGGAACATCGTCGCCTGTGTGAGAAAACACCCCAGTATCTTTGCAGCTATTCC